AGCACGTACATGTATAGAGGTCGAAAATGAAGAGTCCCGTTGCAATTAACCAGCAGGTACAACTTCCCATAAATTCTTGAGTTTCTTCAGCTGCCATTTTTGAACTATTACATAAACCAATGTCTCTCTTTTTAATTCCACATGATTTATGTTCATTTCAATTGGAAATTCGAAACAGGTTAGGGCTTTTTTTGTTATTCAACCCATATGTTTTCTTTTCTCTTTCGTTTAGTGGATTTCATCTTCTCTTTTTCGTTTTTTGTATGCCTTCTGATGTCCATGTGTTTTGTGCTAACTGAATAGGCGAATAATCTTTCATATGTGTGCTTAAATTTTGTTTGTTAACTCACCCTTTCCCAAGGTTCACACAATTCAATTTCCTGTAAACCATACTAATAAGCTTCTGTAACATATCAAACCCTAAACTTTTCAGTCTTCCAAGCTCAGATTTTTTCGCACCATACCATGTAATTTTCTATCATAATTTGCGTTTCTCATATATACCAATTTGGTTTATGTTTTAATTTTTTGGTTGCAAGTTGTAATCGTATCATCTGTTGAATGGCCGATTTCTTCCGATTTCGTATCACCTACAGGGAGGCGCTGGTGGCTAGCCGCAAATTCTTTGGTGGTTGTCAGCTAAAATATCGGATCCCGGTGACGGTCGAAGATTGGTTGAGCACTGGATCTGAGAACAAATTCTTCATTACTCTTCCTTTTCTTTATCTGATCTGCAACTGATAATGTTCTCGATTCATTATGAACTTGTCTTCTCTATTTTTGTAGATATGGAAGATACATTGTTGTATGTTTTTCCAGGTTTCAAATCATGATAAATAGAACATGGTTAGAGGTCTGCAAGTCGTAGTAATATGTTTTTTTTTTGGTTTTGTGATTTGAATTATTTATGGATCGAAAAAGGAACATATTGAGATGATTTTGGTTGATTCTAAGGCATGATTGCGGTGGTTAAGTTCGTAATGTACCTTCTCAAACCTTTGGGTGTCTGTAATATTGACTTTTTATAATCGTTTTTTTATAGAGAGATGTGATTCAAGCCATTGTACCACCCTTTTAAGTTTCAAAGTTCAAGTAACATCTTGCTGCTGGATGCTCATACATAATGCAGAATTTCAAAGTGTCTAACAATGATTTCTCTTTTAAATGCACTAATCATAGCTGCTTCTGATTTCTATCTTTGTTTTTTGTTGTTTTACTTTTCAGCTTCAATCATTGTTTGATCTTCGCTTTGATTTGCTTAGTTATTTTGTTATATTTTTAACCCATTGATGTATAAACAACTGTACTGTATTTTTTTGGGTAAACTGATGAAGTTGCTGCATTATATATAAGGAAGTGTTTGGTTTCACTACAGGTTTAGTGTGGCTTTTAGCTTCTTTGAGTTATAATTTTTTATTAATCAATAAAGGTAATATAATTGTAAGTGTGTTGATTTAATGTTTGTTTACAACGCAGACAACGAAAGTGAAGGATACCGGTCCTGCGGTTAAAGAAGTGTTATCGGTTATTGAATCTTTGAAGAAGCAAGTAGCTATGAAACATATTATTTCACTCAAGGTATAATTGCTTTACATCTGATTGTAGTTAGTTGTTGATTTTGTATTTGGACTTTTGGTTTAATGTTAGGTGTTCAAAATAAAAAATCCTCTGAATCATAAATTCTCAACTCAACCGATCTAATAAATTAATAACCATTTTGTTTGTGTCTATTTGTTCTCCGGTATCGATTAATCTGTTTGAAATGATGAGCTTAAGTATATCTTTGGATTTCATGGGGAAATCAAAGAAGTAAGTGCAAATAGTTGGTTTTGGTTTTTAACCATCTTAGTTGCTTTTTATTTTATGAAGATTATTCAGATCTATGAATATCAAGAAATTTCACATCCAAGGCTTTTTGAGTTTTCTAGATCTTTCAAAATGTTTCTACTGGTTTTATTCAAGCAATTTCCAAGACATCAAAATAGAAAATTTTTGAGAGCACAGATCTTACAGATCTTTCCACTGACAAGGAAGAGATGGTTTCAAGGTTTCTCATGGATCCAAGGTTTTACTTAAATCCCTAAATCAACTGATCACAAAATAACACATGAATCCATATTCGGTTGTATAATTTAGTAATGGATTCACTTGATTATGATACATATGGTTTAAGTGAAATTGTTCTCTTTGGAAATAGTAAGAGAATGATATTGGATTGTTAGCCGGGTCTTGAAATTGTTTTTCTTGATAACCGATTTAAAAGTCTTATGAAATGCTTCAATCCGAAAATTGTATGGAAGCAAATCTTGAAATTTAGAAATTATAATATTTGTAGACATACAAGTGTGAATTTGGAAGAAGTGTGTTTAGATGCTGGTAATCCTAAAGGATAAAGGTGATATTTACGTATAACAAGTGTTTCCTTGAAGGAGAAATGTATGCTTCTTATTCTTTTATAAACATAGTTGAGGATAAAGAGAAAAATGGTTGTGGACATAGTTTGAAGAACATGATTAAGGTTGTTGTTACTTCTGAGATAATTAAAAGTCTTAAAAAATGTTAGTTTTTATTTCTCATGCTTTTGAATTAGTTTTTTATGAATTGTAAATTCGTATCATGTGTAACTTCATTTTCTTCTTTAGAGTTCATGAGGAAAAAGAAGAAAGTTAGAATTGGAATCATATTTCCATATAATTCTCAAGTTGATTTGGAGAAAGTTAAGAAGTACACTTCGACTTCTAACTCAAAGTTTTCTGTTAGTGTATGTTTCGTTGATGGTTTTCAAGGAGGAGAAGAAGATATTATACTAACGGGGGAGGTAATGTCAATTTTATTTCAAACTAACAAAGAACAAATCTTACTATATTTATTGAAAACTGAGTTCATTTTTTTGTTTAGATCATTTTTTATAATGATTTGAATTTGAGTTATCTAATGTGATTTACTCTGAGTTTCGAATAGGTTGGTAAGGATGGAGGAAAAAAGTTAACAATTGTTTCACAATGTGAGTAATTTGCGTTGTTGGCATTATCGGATTAAGTGAGGAGGACTCTATTTCAGTTTTGAAGTTTATGCGATCTATAATAGAGTTGAAAACATCTGATGGCTTGGTAAATGTAAAAACTTGTCCTTTTTGAAGCATTGGAACTATTGTTGCGAACACCAGAGCAACGAATGAAGACACAAGACGGTTTAATTTATTAAAGTCATATATCTAACATCAGATGTTCTGACTGAGTTCAAATTTTCCCGAATAACACATCTATGAGAGTTTAGTGTTATTCTGATTTTTGCTCCCTATCATAAGTTTTTCGATTTTTGGTCTTAGATTTTTGGTCAAATTCACCTCTAATTGTCCGTATTGTTTGTATATGTTTTATTTAAAGATTTTTATGGATTAATGTGAGACCTATTTCTATGATTGAAAGTGCAAGTAGAAAGTTGCATTTCCGTGAAAGAGTTTCAAGATGTTGTAACTGTTATATTTCCTTCCTGTTAGAATCTTTTTTTTTCTACCAATTGTTGTTTGAAATCTAATTTAATCTTTGGAATCTAATTTAACCTTTTGTTTTGTTGGTTTGCTTGACACCTCATATTTATTTTCATTCCCAGTAATTTCTATCGTGAACTTTAGCCATTTCTTTTTCCTTAATTTATGCAAGGTTCATTTGCAGTAGAGGGTAATCATTTCCTTTACATGTGGTTTAGAGGACAATATGGCTGAGGAGATTGAGTATAAAACTTGGATAGTTAATTTATATTCATATAAGTAATACTGTAGTGATTTTTTATATTATTTTAGCTTCAATTAATTAGTAATGGGAACTCTAAAGGTGGATAACTAAAGGAAGGAAAATTGTCATTCTTATTTGAATATCCTCGTGCAGGTGCATAATTTCTATTTATTCATTAATATGCTCATAACAATAATTATACACGCATTATTTTGTTTGTTTGTGGAAAGATAACAATTAAAATCCACGAGAAAAACTAAGTCTAATATTAGACAAATAATAATTATTGAAAAAAGTAATTAGTCATATTGATTTTACTAATAAATAAAATAATATTTGTCAAAATAGTTTTATAATTAAATAAATGAAATAATCTAAGTAAAAATGTATTAGAATAATTAAGTTATTTTTATATTATAATGACAATTATTTAAAAAATATTTCAAATGAAAATATTATTACAAAATACTGAAGCATACAGGCCATTTACAAGAATCGGTAGTATTAATAAAGAACATATCTATCAAACAAAAATTAGTATTATTAATAATGAATATATTTGAAGAAAATAATAATAAATATATTCATATTTATGATTTTTTATTATAAATTAATATGTTTCTCTATTTTTAGTTCTTATTTTATTTTTCAATTTAACAACTATAGATTATTTATCGTAATGAAGATTATTGCGGGCGTTGATCCACGAATAGATGTGAACATTTTTATGAGATACCTGCTGTAAATTTTAATTTTAATCTTCATTTTTTAAAATTTTCTTTTGTTATTGTTTAATATAAATATGAATCAATATTTAAAGTCTATGTATGTTATTAGTCTATATTTGTAACTATGTGAACGTCAATTAATTGAAGAATGAATTCATATTTTATAAATGATGGTTTGATAAACGCTTAATGTGAATTCAGCGATCTCTCTGATGACATAAATGAAGGTAAAGGTATGTGAATTTGAAACTTCGATCTTCTTCTCTTCCTCTCTTCATCTCTTCCTCGTGGTTTCTAAATCTGTCTATTTCACTAAATCTTCTAGTCTTCCTGGAATCAGTATGAACTGTCAACAATAACTATTGATGGAAGGCAGCAATCACTGAAGAGTGTAAATGGGTAATTTGCAGATGAAAACCCTAGCACAATTAAATCTTTTGAATCTCCAATTTAGGGTTTGTTTTTGTTCAACTTCTCAAATTTTCAATTTTCTAAACCTTTCCCAATTGATTAACTCTGTGTTTGTTGAATTACATAAATGGCTAAGTCGAAGAATCACACCGCTCACAACCAGTATTACAAGGCTCACAAGAATGGCATCAAGAAGCCAAATAGACATCACCACACTTCCACCAAAGGGGTATTTATTCTTATCTTTAATTCTTAGTATTCAATTTTAACTAGATTTAAAATGTTTTTGTTGATAATTGTAGATGGATCCAAAGTTTTTGAGGAACCAGAGGTATGCAAGGAAGCACAACAAGAAACTTTGGGAAGTTTCTGATGCAGGGTAATACTCTACCTCTTACATACTCTACATTAGCCTAACACTATCATTTTTGTTGTTGTTGTTTGATGTAACTTATAAGTTGTGTTTTATGTAAAATCTCACAGGATATTATACGATTTCCAAGAATATTTAGTGTTTTTTCAAAAGCCATTGGCCCAGTTTATATCTGTTCTAAGGGCTCCAAATATGTCTTTTAATTATATCAACAAGTTAGGGGTTAATTTAGTTGAGTAGTTTGACCCGAAGGAAATTTTTCTAACATGTATTTAGACAACATAATAAAATGATACTGCATAATAGAATAATATTAGGCACACTGCATATGTTTAATTGTACCATAATAAATATGTGTAAAATTGATTTATGTAAGTGTCTTATATAATATGATTTTGTGTAGCAATATTTTTTTTATATATTTTGAAATAGTATGTAGTTCTTAATATAAGAATAGTTTTTTTAAACGTCTTAGCCACAATTGTTTCATTAATATGAATAAGATTAAAGATCGAAGAAGATAGAAAACTCACCCAAAGTGACATTAGGATATAAGACCATTTATTACTGTTCATTTTGTTCTCATTTGAATTTTCATAATGTAAGTATTTGTGATAATGACTTAGTGCTTGCAACATTGATAATCTTGGTGAAGAAGCAAGTATCTCATCGATCTACGGGTAGATGTGAACGTATCTATGAGATACCAACTGTAGACTGTGAATTTTAATGTTTGTCTTTTAAATATTTCTTTTTCTAGTGTTTAATAATGTACGATTTATTATAAGTACGAATCAATGCTTAAAAAGCAAGTGCATAACATTAGCCTGTATTTATAACTATGTGAATGTAAATAATCAATTGAAAAATAAATTGATACTTTATAAATGATGTTCTGATAGACGTGTAGTGTGAATCCAGACAGGACCCGTGTGATAACACGGGTTTCTTACTAGTTGTATAAAAAATCATTATAAATTCCAAAGAATTAAAAAAAGAATAATTACTTGGCCTATAACAGCAGCGAGAGGGAAGTACTGTCTTCCGTAATTGGAAGCATCGAGCTTCTCCTCAGAAGCTTGCAACACAACTCCATTTTCGGGAACGATATATACAATAATGTCATTGTTTTATTCTTCAACCATTTCTTTAACTTTCGATTCAGCAGCCGTATCATAGTCTAACTAAAAATCGTGTTGCGCAATAATTTTATCGTTGAATGACAATACTTTTTTTTTATAGAAAATATTTTACTCCCATTCTCATCTTCAAAATCTTCCTCCAAACCACCAGTTGAACGTTTAATGTTATCATTTGATATTGTCCATTTCAGTGGCAATATATGTTCAGACCTTCCAAATAGACTAAAGAACAAACTTAGATTTTGCCAGCCTCCTTAGCTGCAGGATTGTTTGCTTCCCATTTTCCTAATAACCACATTAAAGACAAGTCAGCTAAACACAAATATATAACATAGATATATTTCCATGATTATCATGATTGTTACCTCTAAAGTGAACTGAAATTTTTGAATTGATTTCTGAATTGCAAGTAGTGTCCTTCCTTTATCTCTATATATTGACACACATGTATTTGGTTTGAATTCTCCAGGAAGAAAATAGAAATTAGAAAGATAAATTAGTCAATATCCAATAGATCCATGTTTAACTATAAATGACAAATGAAATTACCTTGTTGTAGAGTGGATCCTTTCAGTATAATTGATGGACTTGTCTAATTTTCCCTTCCAATTCAGTGGCAAGCCCTTAATATGTAGCACCTATGAAGTGTTCTTGAAAGACATATATTAATGATTAGGTATATATGCTTTGATGCTTCTTGGAAACCTTTTACGAAGCAGTGATTAAATGCATGATGAAACATCAATTCTAAAAGTCATTTTATTTTCAACTTGTTACTGGAACATTGAAATCAAGTAAAGAAAAGCTTAATATTCAAGAGACCCAATCCAATAGGTATTTCCTCTGGAAACTCCAAGATAAGAATTGCATCATCTTCAAATAAATCAACTTTTGAAGGTTTGCAAACTTACATACACATTCATCAATCCTAAATCAGAAAGAAACAATGGTAACAGAAAAACTCATGGTTGAAATGGGAGTACCTTAGAGGAATCACGGTTGGTAAAAGAAATAGCATCGTTACCGAGGGTAAGTTCAGTGGCATTGAGAATAATGAGGTGAGTAACGGTGATGATGTCAAGATTAAGCAGAGAATGAGAATGAAATTGACGAAAGTGAATCCCAGTTCCATACTTGTAACCGCTGTAGAATATGGGGACACTGGTAGTGGAAAGGTGGGAAGGGGAAAAGAATTGAAATGACAGTTTTTTATGGAGAAACTGGAATTGGAATGGAGAATGAAAAGAATAATGATCTTTTCGAACAAATTATTTTTGCCGAGCCCTCATGAAGCCAGGTGTCAAGTTTTGGATGAATAGAGTCGATTTTCTTATATTGTAGATATAAAAAATACAGTAGTAGAACAACAACAATATCAAGATTCGTACGCATGACCATAAATGCTACATACAACAACAGTTGTATTAAATAATCATTGTTGTATGTATTTTAATAAAATATAAAAAATACTGCAGTAGAATAACAAAAACATCAAGATTCGAATTCATGACCATGCGCCACTTTTTACCACGTTAGAACTTTCAACCGTGATGAAAAGTGGCTTAAATATGAAAAGAAAAAAAACGCATAGTTGAATAGATTCTACCACGGTAGATCCTTTGACATATTGAGTTGGACGTTGTTGTTTGTGTGTTTTGTAGTAGTGCTCGGGCACTGCATTTAATTTTAATTTGTTGTACGTTTAATATATATATATATATATATATATATATATAATATATATATATATCTATATATATATATATATATATATATATATATATATATATATATATATATATATATATATATATATATATATATATATATATATATATATATATATATATTACAAATGTAATAAGTTTTTTTTTAATTTTAAATAATGTTTAAAATAATACTAAGTAATATTTAATTTTATATAAATTAAATTTTACTATTCAATTTCATTATTTCAACTATAAAAAAATTAAATATCATAAATTTTTGTTTAAGTATTTGCTTTATTTGTTAAAAATTAATAAAAGGAAATTTCACAATGTGATCGGTGGATCTGGAACTGACTGTTTTAAAGCTGGTTCGCGAAATGTCGCGGAAGCAAGAGTCGCCACCGTCTTTTATTTTCTCCAATTGGAAAGGACAAAAGCACAGAAAAATTCCTTTAAAGAGATTGCTCTCGGTTCGGGAGGTAGGTTATAGAAAGGGAAGGTGTTAGCACCCTTTCTATCCATGGTTATCCATGGGCTCTTAGGTACTTGCTCAATGTGTTTTCAAAATGTTTGCTTGCTTTTCAATGTGGGTTTCAAAAATATTCTTTGAAAAGTTTCAATTCAACTCGTACGTCAGAGTCACTACAAGAAAAAAAGAGATTTACGACACATAAATTGCGACAGTTCCCACAAAACCGTCCTTATTCCTGAATTGCGACAGTTGTCACGACGGTTAGGCTCAACCGTCGTAGATTTTCAAGCATTATGAGTAACATAATTGCGACAGTTACAAAAAAACCGCCCTCTTTTCACATCCGCGACAATTAGGTGAACTATCGTAACTACATTAGCCAATCATAATCGCTACTTTTTTTTATTCTTTTACTTTCCCACTTTTTTTCTTTCATTTCCCCTTCTTTTTCTCTTTTATTAATAATAATAATAATAATAATAATAATAATAATAATAATAATAATAATAATAATAATAATAATAAAATAAATTACCAACAAAATAAATTTTCACACCCATCAATATTATTTTAAGATTTTCATAATTTTATTTATTAAATTACAATTTCCTTTATATTTTTCTTCTTTATTTATTTAAGATTTTAATTCCATCCACATTTCTAATTTTAAGAAAGAAGTTTTATCTTTTTATCTTTTATTTTATTATTTTAAGTTAACATATATATATATATATATATATATATATATATATATATATATATATATATATATATATATATATATATATATATATATATATATATATATATATATATATATATATATATATATATATATATATATATATATATATATATATATATATATATATATATATATATATATATATATATATATATATATATATATATATATATATATATATATATATATATATATATATATATATATATATATATATATATATATATATATATATATATATATATATATTATCACAAAATGTTAGTAATTCATTTTTAAACAAAATATCAATTTACTTTTACAGTATCTTTCGTCCAAAATGTCACCCGAACCTTAGCGCAGCAGTCCCAAAATCAAGGCGAAGGATCAGTTGAGGAAGAAGATTCCTCTTTCACCCCCTTCACCCTTCTCCGAAACCATTCCTCTGGTTCACTCGCCAACCGCTTCACCCCCGATTCATCGTATCCTCCGCCCATCAACCTGAACCGGACCGGCTTCCTCCACTCAATGCCCAAAAGGTAACTACTTGCTCACCATTCAATTTGTTAATCAATGATTGATAATACTTATTATTTTGCTCTTGAAATCTCAACAACAGGGTAGTCAGCTTAAGAACAGAGTTGTTTTTGGACTTGGTATTGGAATTTCTGCCGGCGCTATTATTTTGGCCGGAGGATGGGTTTTTGCAGCAGCCATGGCAGCAGCTGTCTTTGCTGGTTCACGTGAGTATTTTGAATTGATTCGAAGTCAAGGAATTACCGAAGGAATGACACCTCCTCCGCTATACGTGTCACGAGTCTGCTCTGTCATTTGTGCCTTAATGCCACTATATGTCATGTAAGATTAGTTAGACTACCTTACTTTTTCTATGACTGCTTTCCTCTTATTTATAAGGTTTCTTTGCTTTTATCCGTATCTTGAGAAAGCTTGTGTAGAGAGCATCTTAAAGACTCAGACAATTTTTTACAACCCTTTCTTCATGCATGGAAGACTGATTGGTGTTGCTTGCTGATTTATTAGTATCTATTTCTGATTCATGACAGGTATCGTGGTCACATTGATGTTTCTGTGACTTCTTCTTCTTTTGTTTTGGCCATGGCATTACTTGTGCAAAGAGGAAATGCCCGTTTTGCATAAGATGAAAAGTTGAAGGTACCTCTCCAAACCCTAACCGCACCAATTGGGTCAAATGCGATGAAGACAGTAAGTTGAAGCGCAATTCATGACGAGGGCATGGCTTAGGCTAAAAAAATGTACACGGCTTGTTAAAAGACTCGTCAGAATTAAGTGGCTATGAACTTTCCGGTGGGATTACCCAGATTTCAGCGAGGTCTCACTGATTCTGGCAGCTTCAAAAGGTAATCTTTTAAATTGTGATGGCCTTGTTTCTTTCTCTAATCTTCTCCTTCTTATTTCTTTTTGAATTCTCGAGACTTTGCTTTTCTTTTTTGATGTTCTTTGTTGCTTCTGTGTGTTCTTCTGTATGATTGTAATTGCTCTGCTTATTTTCCTTTTCTTTGTTGTATTTCTGTTGTGTGTAATAATTGAGTGAGAGCTGAAAGAATGATGATGATAATTGAGAATGAGTACGAGAGTTACATGGTGTTGTGTGATTCAGAGAATTGTTGTTTGAGGAATCAATTTAGAGAGGGATCATCAATGCCTGTAATGCTCTCAAAGGTGTTTAGAGAAAGGCATCTCAGATCACTGTCCTATAATTATTAGGGAGAAAGTAGTGAATTGGGGTCTGAAACCTTTTCGGATGTTCAATGACTGGAGAAATTTAAAAGGGTATCTCAATTTTATGGAAGAAAGTTTGAAATCTTAGATTGTTCAAGGGTGGGGTGGGTTCCTTCATAAAGAGAAACTCAAACTGATCAAATGGATGACAAAATAATGGAGCAAGAAACATGTGGAAAACTTAGATGGTAGAATTGAAGAAGAAAAAAAGAAAGTGAATGAATTGGTTATGAAAAGTGAAAACTCAACACTGACTATAGATGAGATTACTTCAAAAAGAGAGGTGTCGTCTTGGTTATACACGTTGTGAAAATATCAGGCACACTTTTAATACTCAAAAGGCAATGGCTAAGAAGTACGAAGGACGTGCAGTAGGAATAGACCTAGGAACAACGTATTCTTGTGTTGCTGTGTGGCTTGATGATCACAATAGAGTTGAGATTATTCATAATGATCAAGGCAACCGAACCACTCCTTCTGTTGTTGCTTTCAACGATGATCAAAGGTTGATTGGTGATGCTGCTAAGAATCAGGTTGCATCTAACCCGCAAAACACTGTCTTTGGTACATTTCTCTTCTCTCTACCACTTCATGTACTTATTATTGTTATTATTATTATTATTTTAAATAACCTCGGCATCATCATTAGTGATATTGTCTAGAATAAGAGGTTGTTGCATTCTCGGGTATCAAACTTGGTTATTATGTAATGCTATTTTAGTTGGACAAATGTATGTGTTTCTTTTTTCAGATGCGAAAAGATTAATTGGTAGGAAGTTTAGTGATTCAGTTGTTGGAAAAGATATATTGTTGTGGCCATTCAAGGTCATTGCTGGTGTCAATGACAAACCCATGATTACCCTTAAGTATATGGGTCAAGAGAAGCAATTTTGTGCTGAGGAAATATCATCCATGATTCTCTCCAAGATGCGACAAGTTGCAGAGGCATATCTGAATTTGCCTGTCAAGAATGCTGTTGTTACTGTGCCTTCTTACTTCAATGATTCTCAGCGAAAAGCCACCATAGATGCTGGCGCCATTGCAGGCCTTAAGGTTATTCAGATAATCAATGAACCTACTGCTGCTGCGATTGCATATGGTCTTGATAAGAGAAGAAATTGTGATGGTAAAAGAAATATTTTTGTCTTTGACCTTGGTGGTGGGACTTTTGATGTGTCTATCCTCACAATTAAAGGTGATGTTTTTGAAGTAAAAGCCACTGCTGGAGACACTCACCTCGGAGGAGAGGACTTTGATAACAGATTGGTGAACTATTTTGTACAAGAGTTCAAGAAGAAACATAAAGTGGACATTAGTCCTAACCCAAGAGCCTTAAGGAGGTTGAGAACTGCTTGCGAAAGAGCAAAAAGGATACTCTCCTTCGCCTTTGTAACAACAATTGAGGTTGATTCTTTATTTCATGGAATTGACTTCTCTTCATCAATAACTCGTGCCAAGTTTGATGAAATTAATATAGACCTGTTTAATGAATGTATGAAAATCGTGGATAGTTGTCTGAGCGATTCAAAAATCTGCAATAGTGATATAGATGATGTTGTTCTTGTGGGTGGCTCCTCTAGGATTCCCAAAGTGCAAGATCTGTTGCAACACTTTTTCGAAGGAAAAGATTTGTTCAAGGGTATAAATCCAGATGAGGCTGTTGCTTACGGTGCAGCTGTTCAGGCTGCTATTTTGAGTGAAGGCTAAAATAAACTCTATGATTTTGTAATTTTGGGTTAAAAGCATCTTCCCTATCTCCGACTCTCTAAGACAGTTTCTATATTTTGTGTGAATCTTGCAGGCTGCTAGGTATGCGTAGCTTGGACCAAATGGTAGTCAAGGAAGGATCATGGTCCTAGCATGGAAGTTTAACACAAAATCACTTAACACTAAGGACTTTCATGAATTTTGTAGAATATTGTAACATTTTTTGTAATTCTCTCAAGTTGTAGCAAACCAATGTAAATATTAAAATGAAATTTGGCCTTTGATGATATTTGAATTTTTCTTGTTTATTGGTAAAATTTGCACTTCTTTTTACCTTTGATCACATTTTTTTGATATTATTGATGATTATTTGATATTAAATGTTTTTATTGTAATTAACTTTATTATGTTGAAAAGTGATAAAAAATAAAATAAAAATACTATAAATAAAAAAATATTAAAGTAAATAATAATTTAAATATAATAGTAAAATATTATAGTAAAATAATATTATATTTAAAATTATTTTACTAAATAATAATTTAAATAAAAATATTATTTGAAATTTATAAATCAGATTACGACGGTTAAAACCGTCGCAATTTCTAACCTACGGCGGTAGAATAACCGTCGCAAACAACAACAAAAACAAAAAATAAAGTCAAATTCACGACGGTATATAACCGTCGCTATCTGTTGTGCGTGACAGTTTTTGCAACCGTCGCGAAATAGGCTGGGGACGCACGATTCTGCGACGGTACTTCTACCGTCGTAGATTGTAAATTGCGACGGTTTTAACCATCGTAATCAGCCAAAATAACCGTCCCAATCTATCATTTTTCTTGTAGTGAGTGTTCGAAAAGTTTGTTTTGAAAGTTTTTGAAAGCGTGTCGGTGTGAAAAGATTTCAGTTTGTTTTGAAATTAGAGCAAGTACCCTTGAGAACCTACCTACCCTAAGGAATTCGTCTGTGTAAAAGTCCTTTAAGGTAATGCCATCCCACCATTGAGAAGTAGGTAGCACCACCGTTGGAGGTGTTCGGGTCAATTCGAGTTTTAGGGACGTGGTGATCACCAGAGCAATGGGAAGACACCTTAGAAGCTACCCTTATGCCATTGATCTTTTATTCCGAGGCAACTTATTCGAGGCAACTTGATCAATGGACACAAGGACTTACTAAAATATCCTCTACTCGATGATTACCTTTCGAAAGGCAACAGTGAGGCGTACCCTAGGGGTGGTGTGTGCGAATTGTGTGTCATTTTCAGTTTATTGTTTGTCTTGTCATGCATTGGTGATCTAACGATTCGATTTTATTTTTGGGCATTCATTCTTTCATGTTATCGTTTAACAGTTAAAAGTGCGGGAATTTAAAGTGCGGAAAAGATAAAAGTCATACGCTATTACAAAGGGCGAGGGTCTACAACGCCAAATTAATCCAGACCCGTTTTAAAATAAATTGCAGAAAAGAAATGTCTAATAGCTATTACATGGCTTTGGTACAAGTACATTACATTCACAAAAGAAATAAATGAAACGCGCGAAAAAGAAAATAATCAAATGCGAGGGCGTTGAACCCTTAATTAAAATAATTAAGTTATCTAAAATTAAAATTAAATGAAAAATGGTTTTTTTGGGTGTTTTAGATTAAAAGAAAAAAAGAAAAATTAATTAAAATTAAATTAAATATTAGACCTAATTCTATTGTTTTTTTAAGTTATTAAGAAAAAAAAATTTTAATTTTTAACCTAATTTAAATCTAAGTTAATTTATGTACATTTTTTGATTTATGGAAATAAATAAATAACATTATTACTCTGAAAAAAGGGAAAAAATAAAAAAAAGAAAATAAAAGTCATTAAACCTAAATTCTAGTTTTTTTGTATTTTTATTAAAAAGAGATTAAAATTGAATACCTAATTAAAACTAAATATTTACATATATTTATTTAGAAAATAATCATAATAAAATAAATATCATATTTTTTTATATTTTCTGATTTTTGTGATGTTTTTGTGTTTTTTGTAAAAAATTTATTAATTAAATAAATAGCAAGTAAAAGAAATAAAAGAAAAAATTAAAGAAAGAATAAAAATAAAAATGATAAAGCAAACCAGGGGGGTGTGGTCCCAAATTTGGAGGTGTAGGCCTGGTGATTTTGGCCCATTTGCATTGTGAATCATTGACTTTCTGGATCATATGTGGCTTGTTGACTGGCATCCATGATATGCTTTCATCCTGATCCCTGGATTAGATCTCCAAGACGCGTGGCCAATTGATTCTGAGTGTGTATGGTGAGTCTCAATGTTAGCGTTGCATGGAAACTGGAAATGAAAAATAATATTGAATTTTGCAAGACCTGGGACTTGAACCCAGGTCATGAGAGTCACATGCGCTTATCCCTTGCCACTGAGCCATTTGATTTCATTTAATATAATATGGTTAACAAATAATAAATATTAAAACCAACGCCTAATAGTCAAACGCGCGCAAATTTGAATGGACGAACCACGCCTTGCCACGATGCCTTCTTCTTCACATGCCCTGTAAAACAAAACAAATGAGCAACGGTTTTGCAACCGTGGTGTTAGGCAGGCTTTCAAAAAATAGCGATTAGGTCCCTGTAACTCATAAATTTGTCGCGAGCATATCTTCTTCTTCGTCTCAAAATGCTGAGTTCAAACATGGTGGTCCTGAGCCCTAATTTTTCCTCTAGGCAAAATCCCTAATTTGAGAAAACTGTAACCCTAGGATTCGCGCATGGTGGATTCTTATATACAGTGCAAAAACCAAATTGAATATAAGGGTTAGCTTGGAAACATCACATGGAACAAGAATATACTATTGAAATGCAATGAAGATGCTTAAAATGGAGAATACGATTTCAAATATTTTGCTATACAGTTTGACTTGTAGATACCGTTTCAGTGTGTTTTGGTTGATGTTAGGGATTGAGATGCGTTCAGAATTGCCTCAGGATGCTAATGGAAAAAGAATTAAGTCTTGAAAGATCCCCTAGTAGTGATTTCAGTTTTGCCTTATATGGCCAAAATTTCAAATTGTCCAATGGCTTTTGAGCGAGCCTTTTGCTATGTTCTAGTTAGGGTTGGACTCAGTGATCATCATGGAATGGAATAGGCTTGCTATTTGACCTTTGTTGTACCCCAAAATTTGCCCTCCCATTTCCTCAACATTTTCTCATCACAAGACATTTAAAGATCAAGGTCCAATTAGGGTTTCCTCTGCTCAAGACTTCTCCTTGCACTGTGGACTCAAATTAGGGTTTGTGTTTGCCTAAAGATGTTTTGACCTAAAATGCCTAAGATGACTTTCATGCTTCATATTGGACTCCCAAGTTTACCCATACCAGGTTTCAAGTCTTGATTCCAAGTTTTTCCCAGTCAATTGGACAGTTGACCTAGAAATCAGCTGTATTGGGGAAAAAGTCAACTGTGGCCAATTGACAGTCAAACCTCATGAAATTTGATCCACATCAACATTATGAATTCACATGAACCATTTGATCAAGTTTGAATCACAATTCCCCAAGAAATTTGATCAGATCACCAAAAGGGCAAAATGGTCATTTTTAGGGTTTTGACTGCACAAAGGCAATTTTTGACTGTTTGACCTAGCCAATGGCAAACCAAGCTCACATATGGACTCAAGGACCCCATGGAATTATCTTGACATGTTCATCAAGCTCAAAAGATCCCAAGTACACAAGATTGACAGTTGAATTTCCTAGTCAATTGATCAATTTTGACTGTATACTGAAAAGTCAAACTTTGACTTTTTGGTCAAAATCAAGAGTCAAGATTCATTTTTCATCAAAACATGCCAAATTATGAAACTTGTTCACCAAGAAATGTCAAAATGCAAATTAGGGTTTGAAAATGGAATTTTTCATAACTTAGAATTTTTCTAAGTTATGGAAAACCCTAATTTTTTCCCAACTTTGCCCCATCTTTTCACCATGATCCATTTGGATTCAAACAAAAGTCAAAACATGAAAGTTGTAGCTTGTTGCAAAATCTACAACTTTGATTCACAAAGTTTTCTCATTTGAAGCTTGTATCTCAAGTTATGATTTTTTGAATAAGGGCACTAAACCATCTTTTAACTTAGTGAAATTTGACCTATTTTGACAAGGTTTTCTACCCTACTTCAAGGCCACTTTTCATACCCTTCCACTTGGAATTTCAAATTGCATTTCAAAGATGGATTGTAGTACACATTACAAGCTTTCCAAAATGTCCAAGAACTCATCAAACAACCTCATAACTTGAGAGATTCGAATTTCACAAGTTGGCAAAAATTCACTTTTGTTCTTCATCAAAGCATGTTCATAAACTTGGCAAATTTGAATTCAGCATGCTTAAGCTACATTACAGGCCTCTAATCCCATTCTCACTCAATAATTCAATGCATATCCTTTGTGTTCTAACATTATTTTGCTCATTTGGATAATACACACAAAATTAAGCCTAAACTAGAAAAAGCATGTTATCCATTCTTGTAAAGTGATACTTTATGGCAACTTTGCAAATCTATGAGGTACAATGCAGATCTTTGAAGCAAAAAAGCATAGGCATATCCCACTGATCAAGACTCAAAGGTGCAGCATAGATTGAGGCATTGTACTGGCCTAGAAACCAAGTTGACATTTGCTTGCTTCACATAGAAGTAACATCCATAACTTATGCTATCTCTCATATCAGTCAAAGAACACAGCACAAAAGATATCAAACACATTCCATAGACCTCATTGAAGCTTTTGCTCGAGCCATTTGCCTTTCAAACCCTCTCCATCTCAGAATCATCCTCAAACTGCACAAACAGGGGTGCCCCTGCAGTTTGAGTGCAATCTCTCATTCCCTTCAAACATTTCTGTCCAAACCTGTTCCTCTACCTTCCTTACAACATATGCAAGCTATCCATAAGCTAAGGCACGATCTGTAGTTGCTCTAACCACTTCCACCATTTTCACATCTTTAACTT